GTGTGTGTGTGTGTGTGTGTGTGTGTGTGTGTGTGTGTGTGTGTGTGAACACGAGGCCAGTAATATTTTTTTTATTTTCGTTGATTTCTAATATTTCATGAGCGATCAAACTTGAAATCTATGTCCGGAGCGAAGTCGTCACCAAGGCATATCATGGAGGCTTCGAACAAATATTAAAGTAAAAAAAGCAGCAGTGGTCGGATTCCGGCGAGAACTTGGATAATATGTGCTGCGTATGCTCAGAGATAACAGAGAATAGAGCTGACGAGAAACAGTGCATTTCGTGCGAGCGTAGGGCACATAAATGTGTGCGCTTTTCTTGTAATTATTTTTCGCCATTTTGTTTTTAATTAATATTTCCATTTTTCTATTAAAAAATAATTAATAAAATGTGTCCTATCATTTTTCATGATCGGAATTATGAATTTTCATTTAAAATCCTGTCCGAGAATGGAGTATGACGACTTTGTCCCGATAATTTTGACATTTCAATTTTTGCACCTTTGTCGTTTTTACTCTATACCAATTGAACAAAGCGACACGACGTAGACCAAAAATGTCCGTATAAATTTTGTAGCCAAGGGTTCACTCTTTATACAACGGTATACCACATTTTACTAAAATTATTTGTTTTGTTGTCAAAAAATCGGTATAAAAAATAGTGACGACTTCGCCCCGGTCTCCCCTACATTTATATTTCGAATAGAAGAACATTTCGTATATACGTGCGACACCAAATGCTTTTCTTCGACCTTTATTCTGTTCTTTTTTTAGTCATAATATCATCAATATTTACAATTTATTTAACATTGAAAATTGATATTAATTTTGTTTAAAAATTAATATATATTTACAATATATATTTTACAATATATATTTTACAATATATATGTGTTACAATATATATTTTTTTATTTTTAAAGTTTATTTAATAATATTATATACCTTTTTTGTATAGGTACATATTTGATATTTAATACATATTATTTGATTATATGTTTTTTATTTAATACATGCGCAAAAGTTGAAAAGTGGATTATATTATAAAAGATTTATTTTTATATATGTTATTTTCTTTTTTTCTTAATTTACACATTGCAATTATTAATAGAATGGATAAGGGTTCACGCACAATGAGAAAAATATGTAAGGAACAAAATTCTCCTTTATGTTTAATTCTTTATTTCTTATTTCTCTCATTGTGCATGAGTTTTAAAAATATGTATTATTTTTTTTCTTATATCACACACGCACACGCACAAGCACATACACACGCACACGCGCACACACACGCGCGCGCACGCATACATATGTACATATATTTTTCGATAGGAAACACCAGTATTATACCAGTATTATTATTATCGATGCGTTTGAGAATATATGTTCCTTTGCTTTTAATTTTCTTTCATGTCACACATAGGCTAGCGTTGGTTAAGGTATGAACAGACTTCAGATTTTCTTTGTAAATACATATAAAAACAAAGGTAGTAATATGATTATAATTAATTTTAAAGTTTTGGGTTTACATATATACTATTTATTTCTTGTAATCTCTCTTTGGTGAATTTTTCGTTATGAATATACGATGAATCTAACAGATTTAAATATTGACATACAATAATATGATAGTAATGCCAACATTAATGTAATATTAACATTTTGCAAGAAAACATCTGCGTTATTTCAAAGTCCAATATTGCAATGTGGTTTTATAAAATGAGTTTTATAGAAACCTATAATTTTATATGTAATATCTCGATATAAAATGGCTATAATTGAAATAATTTCAGTATTCACAATTCTTAATTGAATCATAAAAAAATTTATGCAAAAATTAATGCAATTTACGTTTTAAGTTTGTTTTAAGTTTTAACCGTATTAATAAATTCGATTTTTTCATTTCTCTTTTTAATTGCGTAAGTATAAGTAAGTAAGAGTTATACGCATCTATATTGAAATTATTATTATTAAAATATCTAAACGAAGGAAATATTTTGCTAATATAGCATATGTTATGTGTTATAGAAAAAAGTCGTTGCTTGCTTCACACAGAAAATCGGCAAATCAGTTTTCCCAAGAAAAGGTCGAACATAACGCGATTTCAGAAAACGGATATGCGCACAACGAATTACGCAACGTTTCTTTATTTAACAGTATGAAAAGTACGCACAATAACGTTAAAGATAAAACTAAAATTGCTAAATTGGTTGTCTAATATAACAATCGACGTTAATGAAACGAGAAGAGTTAGAGTGCCGATATGGATGAAATAAGATTACATGACAAAGATAAAAGCGTTCATTCCTCCTTACAAAGTTTTTCGCCCAAGAACTTTTGGACCAGTCATCCCCTTTTCATCTTTATGAGATTCTCGCGAGAGGTAAGACAAGTAAGTTTGGTAACTTGAAAAGTTTGTAGAAACAAAAGAGAAATGATGAAAGTGGAGGAAACATAAAAAGCCAAGTTACAGCATATACATTGCATATGCAGGACACATCCTTAGAGACAAGGACTATTCTCATTTCTATTTTATTTTTATTTCTTTCATCGGTATCACATTAAACAGAGATATATAAGGTAAAAGTATCAATGCCGGGACACTTAAGAGTAGGTAAATGTACCAATGCCTGGACACGTATGTCTGGATATCTTTAAAAAAATATAAATTTATGGAAATAAACGTTTGGATATTATAACTAAAGTTTCTAACTACAAGAAAAAATATTTTTATCTTTAATTTTAATTCGCGTTATACTTATAAATAATAAAGGTGTCCAGATATAGGTACATGTCTGGATTTTGGTACGTTTACCTTACATATATATATAGCGCATCCTTAAAAATTTTTATTTCAGCTTTAGCTTCCTGATCAATATACAGTTTATTTGTTTTTAATTATCTTAACTAACTTATCTGCTCTCTGTAAGAAGACAGATAATTTCCTAGCAAGCTAAAATAAACCGTTACGTGTTTTAACTCTCCTCAAATAATACTACAATGAACACTTCTATCAAAAGCTTTGAGTATGTAAAATGTTAAAACTTAAAACCCCTATCATTGTCAATCGATCAAGATAAAAATAAAAAAATATCATCAAATAATATGTATATTCTTTATTAAGTGGATTAAAATCTCGGCTCGAGATTTCCTCGAGGAAATCTTCCGTGCAAAAAATATAATTTTTTGTGTTTTGTTATTGATTTTAAAATTCATAAACTCAAAATTTCCCGTAAGTAATTAAAACAGTTGTTATTTTTAAATTGCTGTTAGTAAGATAATGTAAATTTGAAATATACAAACAATGATTTTCTCTACTATTGAAAAGAATAGAATGCCTAAAAACATCAGAAACATTAATAATATGTTTATTGCGCGTTAATGTTATTTCTCTATCTAATTCTCTCTTCTTTAGACACAGTTAGCAACCTTAATGTTGATCGTACATCTGTGCTAATTAGATGAAATATACAATGATGACATAACAATGCGGATATGCGAATGTAACAGCGTATCTTGCATAATATTATATCTTTTTGCTAACAATTTCCATTTTTTAATATAATTATTAACTTTTATATACTTATAATTCATATATTTATTAGCTTGTGTTTATTAAATCGTCTGTTCTTGTTTTTCTTTTTCGCGCGCGCGCGCGTGTGTGTGTGTGGTTGTGTATTCTCACTACATTTTTATCCCTTTCATTCTTGCTAATGTTGAAAAAGAGGAAAAGAACTATTTTAAAACAAGAAAAAGACACGGTGCTAATTTATACAATACATATTTTGTTACGGAGAACACAATGAAGAGTACTCGCAATTTCAATAAAAATATGGATTCTTTTGCAAAAGAGAGAAATTTAATTATCATACCAGTATAATAATTATAGCAAAAGGAATACTTTGAGCAGATTCTGCCATCAACGTTAATATAGCTGTAACTATAGCTATGAGATGTCTTATAGCTATAGCTATAGTATCTCTGAACCGAAATGCGAAAAACATCTCTCAGTTTTCTCTTGGCGACCAAGATTGTCGCGTTCCTATGTACAAGAAATCTCCAAATTCTTTGACCTGTTTTTAACAAAAATATCGCACAAATATGAAAGGTTTTCAACAAATTATATGTATATATATATCCAAGCTGTTAATACATAGTACATACAAATCGTAAGTTATCTTATTCTTCAATAAAGCTTAAGCAAACTTTATGAAAATAGAATTTTTAACCAACCTATTTAAGATATTGACATATATTGTGAGATAAATATACTAAATAAAAATTTTTCTTAAAAAAAATTGATTTAAAATTAATCAAACTTTATCAGAAAGAAACAAGAACTTGGAGACATCCTGTACGATGCGTGTTCGAAAAAAAGCGTAAGGAAATCATAAACAGCAGACAATCAACGGCACTGATAACAAACTTTTTTCTTACATAATGGCATCCGCTATGTGCACATGGTAAATATTGATTATAGTAATAATTACGGTACATTGCAATAAAAGCGAACTAATTGAAGTTCAACTGAATGTCTTGTGTACATACGGATATAAGTATACCTATATAATTTGCCACTGTACAGCAATATATTTAGAATTGTACGATTATGTCTAAAATGTTCAATTCTTCTTTTTCTTATAACTTATTCAATTAAAATCGGTTGAAATATAAAATGGTTTTTTCAATCCTGTTTTGATTTTTTTCTACAACTTCAACGTACTCGAACGATTTCTAGAAACTGTTTGGCGAATAACACGGCAAGCATTTTATTCGTCCAGCATTAGTAAGAAATTACAATTAACATTAATTTGAATTAATACAGAAAAATTAATACGTAAAAATTATAAAATTTACATTTCAATGAGAAAAAATTTTCACCGGGAAAAAATTTAACCTTCTGCAGAATATAAAATGATATTATGAATTAGATTTGCATTTTAATATTATTCATATTTTTTTCTTCTTTAGAGCATATATAATAGCTCATTAGATTTAATCGATGAGAAAAGAAGATTAATTTATTATTATAATACAAAGTATTTTAATAATATAGTTAGCAAAGTGAGCAGAATGACGTCAAATGACGTATTAATAACATCTTTAACGTCAACAATACATCATTAAGACGTGTTTAGATGTCATCCTGCTACCTAAAAATTATATTTTTCTTTTTTCAAAATTAGAAAATGCGTTCTATAAATCAAATTCTTGAATTTAACACTAGTAAATATTTGTGCTTTCAATATTATAATTGCATTCCGATTTATTATCACAAGTATTGTCTGTTGAAAGAATATATAATATTTTTTTTTATGTTTGTAAGAATTGCTACAGTCTCTTCATTACGTTCCTATCCATGGCACCCATGGCATTCTATCCATAGATTTGACAATATATTTACGATAAGTTTCTTATTGTTAGTCTTAACAAGCTCAGGATTAAATAATTATACAAATTTAAAAGTTACACTTTATCGCATTTGGCATGTAAACAAGGAATTAGATAATCGATCAAATTTTATGATGATATAATCATCTCGTGTAACAAAAACATCAATACGTTACAGAAACTATTTGTAACAATGCTTCTCTAAATATATGACAGTAGAAGCGATCTGGCGAGGCCGTTGCGCATTGCAGCAACTCTAACACAAACACTTCTGAACTACATATAGCTAATGCAGCAGTATAAGAGACGTCAACGATAATTCGGTGCGCAACTCCGCAAACTTTGTATGGTAACCACTGGGCACTGCATATAATGCGCTGGTTTGTTTTATTTTAAAAATATTTCAATTAATTAAATAATATACGTTAGCCGACAAATTTGCAAACAAATTGTAAATCTTAATTTCGCGGTTCTCTCGCTGCGCTTACTTCATTTGCAGCAGCTGTCATCGTATTTTGACAGTTATGTGTATTAAGGAGTTAATAGTTCAATAGTAATAGCATAATGTTAAAGTTAAATAGCGCGCGCGAAGCGCTGGTGTCTAGTATTATAAAATTCTTGTTAACATGTTAATATAAATTCTCTTATTAATATTTTGACGATAACCAGAAGAAAGCCTTGAAACAGCATAGAAAAGAAAAATAATTGAATGTGCCTCAATTATACAAGAAAATTTATATCTGATGGCGTATTACTTTATAACATCTTATCTCAATCGTGTTTATTTTACATATAACTAGACATCATTAAGTGAAGCAATAACTGAAGAGGTCGAACCGCAATTCCAGGAAGAATAAATCATTTGGGTTTTCCATTCCTATCTCGTTGAAGTTTAATTACCGCCGTTGTCGTTATTATAGTGGAATTTCTTTAGCAAAAATTGAAAACGAAAGACGTGTAATCATATATCATCATTGCAAGGCTTTACTAGAAACATCGACGAGTCGTTCTTTCATTAACAACATTTTTTCATCAGCAGCATGTATGTAGGTACATATACATACTTGATATTCTTTATCAAAGTTTACTCACTGTCCAATTAAGATTGCATTTAATAGCAAAACATAGTCAAACAAAACCGCATAATGAAATTTATATTAAAATGTGGTGTTATCAAATATTTTTTAATCAATTCTTATTTTTAAGATTTTTGTATTTTTATACATATATTTGTCATCAATTTATTATTATTTAATTGCTACTATTTAATAAGCATTCTCAAAGAACTTTCGGCATGAAAAACTAATGATATAATATTATATATACATATAAAGTATTAAAACAATATTTAAAATGTATAAAATTTTTCATCTTTGGCTAATAAAGTATAAAAATCATTGTTGTACATTTTAATTTGTGGCTTTTTGATGACAATTTGATGAAGTCAAACAATGTTTGCTGGTTTTTAACATTGCAGCAGAACGGTATCGTTCTGCAATACCATGTATCGATATATTGTAATGAACTTTAAATGACTGAGAAACACACACGTGTATTACATTATACATAATATATTATAACAATAATATATAAATTATTAAATTAAATAATTGTTAAAACTAAATACTTAATTTTATCAAATAGATTAACAAATGAGATAATTACATTAAGCATAAGGTAGTATGTATATGTCTGCCAAAGGGTCTAATTGTAAGTAACAATAACACCAATTATAATATAAAAACTAAATAACACTTCTAATATTAATAATATTACTAGACAATTAATAAAATTTTTCCTTTATATTTCATCAAATAACTGTATATCAACAATCGATAGGATACGTATCGTCACGAGATTCGAGTTATTCCATTGTCAATCAATGTATCTATAATATAATAGCTTGAATACCAAAAGTCGGTATAATCAAATTTAATATAGATAAAATACAAAATGTACAAATTACGCACAATCTAATCTAAGGAGAATAAGTAATATATAAAAATAAGACTAAAAATAAAAGTAATAACAAGAAACTCATACAGGTTTACTCTATAAATGGAATAAGATATACGTATATGTATACATATAAGAGCTGAAATATGTTTATGAAAGACAAATAATCCGATTTTCCTGTCGTTCAAGGAAAACTTTCTTTCTTCTTATGTCATCAAGAAAATTATCCAAGTATATATGAGAGTGTGCTTCTTCTTTTTTTTTATAATATTGTCAAAGATTGATTTACCATATTAAATCAATCTTTGACATTATTGAATTAACCATAAAATATTATATATCTAAGCCAATATCAATATCTATCGCATGAGAAACACCCGCGCAATTTGTCAAATATTTTATTTTAGTTCTTGGCAATTTCAGGTTATTTAGATAAATTCAAATTTCGCTATTGTCGAGAAATGATTACTGCACCAAAATAATCTTCATGTATATTATATATAGATATTTACAGCATCAAAAGTTGACTTGATCAAAATATATCGATATCGAGCTTTACATTTCGATGCCTTATTCTTTCTCACTGTCTTCTCACTTTTCAAATTCAGTAGATTTCAATGCTCAGCTTGGCTGGCAAAGTGAACAGATGGACGCGTATTTGTGCGTCAGAGCAGCTAAGGAGAATCAAGTGAGTAAGATAGAGTGAGAGTTTGAAAGTAGGCCTTCGCTGCTCAGTCAGTTGTCGACTACGTGCCCGAGCGATTGGTTGGCATAATGGTGAGTTTTCGAATATTGTTAACCGAATGACGCATTTTCTGTGACTGAAAAGATATAAAGTATTATTAAGCTCTATACGCAAATACATGTTACATGTTGTTGCATGTTGCTACCCGAATTGTTGTCCAACGCTACGTGCATCAATACGTTATGTGCAAAAACTGCCCAAAGTGTTCAAAGTGATTTATGCTGTAGAATTATTTCAAGTTAAAGCGCAATTTTTCACTAAAGTAAATGTCTTTTCTTGAAATTTAAATTTTGGATGATGCAGTTATTACGTTGCGACTTGTCGGTCTGTTAAACACGATAATACGATTCAACAACATTTGAATACTTAAGAATATTATGCGAAAACAGATATTTTACAACAAAAAAAAGGACCTACATTTTCGTAGATAATTGTTGCATCTCCTCTCGCCGATGCGATAAAATATCGCCAAGTAATATCACTCTAAAGTTTCATTAGAGTTATCTTCTTATATGAAGAAGAAAGCTATATTGCGATAGCCGTTGCACTATTACCGCTATTATTCCAATACTTTAAACGTTATTTAGATAAATATTAAATTATTAGAATCAGTAATACGATAGCATAAATATTTGAAATTACTTTTTATTCTCCGAAAAACCATACAATACTAAATGGTTTAATCATCCAATAATTTCTTGATAAAAGAAATTACATAGGTAAAGTAAAACATATGCATTTACCATATCATTCTATTGTGTATGTTAACATCCATTTCTAAGTTTATTAATAAATATTATGATCTTTTACAGCAAAAACCAGTAAACATTCTTTAACACTGCGCGACATCAGATTGTGAAAGTTAACTCTTTCCGGCTATGTTTTTGCTATACACTCGTTAAGCATATTTTTCGTCTGCATATAATGATCACTATACTGTATTTCTCATATAACCTGCACGATGGCATTTATTGTTTGTTGTGAGTGTGTATATATGTATGTGTTCTGATTCTTTAAATCTTTATAGTAGGTACTACATAATACATGAAATTATAAATAAAATTGTATCCTAATTTTTTACATAAATTACAAATAATCTAAAGTAAACTTTAGAAAAAAAAATTATGTTTTACGATGAACTAGAATGAGTAGCTCCATTATATTGTTATTACAATCTATATATTTCTGCAGAGAAGACTATTACATTTATAAATCTAGTATTTTAGAGAAAATCTAGTATTTTAGAGATCTGAAAAAGACACATCGAGAAAAGATTTATGTTCTTACATCGGTCACAAATTTCACTACTTCATATATCTGAATAAAGAATGAAGTGGATCGCGAGTATAATGTAGATGTTACGAAAGGATCAGGATTGTGAGAATTAACCAAGTTACTCTTTGACATCAATAATCTAGTCAAGGCTCCTTTTGCAACATTTGCTCATGAATATGAAAAACAACTTCGACATACATCTTGAACTCATTCTTCTTTACGTAATTGAGCAAGCAACGCTTATACATTATTGAAGTAAATGTTTTGCGCTTAAAATAAATAACATCTATAAAATAATTTCTTTGCGCATATTTAATTAATTTTTAGATCTGTAAGCATATTAAAAACACTCGCAAAATGATGTTATATTTATTGAAATTAAATAACAATTATTTTTATAATTATGATAATATTACTTAATATGTATCTTGAAACAAATCGTAAAATGTACATCAAGTTTCTAATAATTCGTTGCATATTTATAAAAAATTATGTATACTATATTATGTTTATATCAAATATGATTTAGATAGGTATCTAAAGTTAACAAAATTGTATACTTCTTAAAAATAATGATATATTTATCTTACTGTGATAAATGTGATTATAAAGATAATAATTTAGGCATATAAAATAAAAATATCAAATAAGTATCTAATTATAAAGATAATAGTACCAAAATATTTTGAAATAAATTTTTTAAATACATTTAATACGTAGTGTATTTAATATCAATTAATTTGTAAGACAAAAGAATAGATGTACTTATATTAATAAATAGATATATAAACTTATTATTAAGAAATATGTGGTTTAAAACGTTTAATTAATTTTAATTTAATTTTTTTTTTTTAACAAACTAAGTAATTTATTTACAAGCCAATATGTAGATACTTTTCTTGGTAATTAATCATACATATATCTTCTACGATTTTTTAATCTCCTTTTCTTATTAGAAAATTAACAACTTTTTCATTTATTTAATTTATATAGCAGCTAGAATAAAAATTTAGTGTTTCTTTCTCTCTCTCTCTCTCTCTCTTAATGTTTTTTGTTTATAATTTGTATAATTATTGTACTATTGTTTTCATAGATTGTGCTATTCTGTATGCTGATCGTCATCGGCTTATGTCATTGCAATGATCTTCCGTCAAGGACTGAAGTCGAGAGCTCAATCAACAGAACAATCGAGGAAGTCGAAAAATTGATTCATCAAAACGCCACTTTGCCACATCTTACTAGAAAAGAGATTATTGATATTCTTTTTAACATCACGTCCAAAGATCTCGAGACATACAAGAACAAAACGACAATCGAGGAAGCAAGAAATATCTACCAAAAAGCTTTGATGGTAGTCCTGCCTTATAACGCAGAAGACGCAAGAGAAAGCATGAAAGATTTATATACCAAACCGCCGATAGTTGAATTAATTGCGGATCCTACTATCAATCCAGAAAACTTGGAAGAGTGGAGAAACAAGAAACTACAGGCAAACGCACTTATAGAAGAAAAGCAGCATGATAAACAATCTCTTGAAAATTTTATAGTGACATATGCTCCAGAGAAAAACTTGCCGGAGGAAAACCCACTTGGTGCGGAAACGCGATATAAGAATCACAAAGAAACGTATTCGGAAGCACATTCGAACATATCTGTGAAAGAGACATTAAAGTTTGATTCACCAATGAAATTTAGCTTCAACTTGGAAAATCTACAAAAAGAACCAATCTTTACCAAAGAACCAGCAACTACCACTAGGCGACCAGTGTTTCAAGAGTCTTCATTAACCAAGAACGAAGAAGTCTACACAGTATATAGTACGAGTGCGACAACTATTCCCCCTGGAACAGTAAAGATAAAGAAAAATTTCTCAATGCTTAATTTGGAACCAGAAATGACGTCCCGTCCTTTAAAATATCATGAAAATATTTTATCTGTTGGCGAATGGCGGTATAATCCGCCAACGACACAAAGTACCACAACGTTAACAAAACTTCCAGATATGTTCTTTAAAAGAATTCACGACAAGCAATCGCCTTTTTCGACTACTACCTCACTAGAAAATATGGCTCCGTCTGCGCCGATTAGCAAAATTAATTACATTCCAGAGATAATTACAACATCCGAAAAGATACCAATCGTTAATGCTGAACAACCAGTTCCTATTTACGTAACACCAATGCCCTTCTCCTCTTCTTCTTCTCCTTCTTCTTCTGAGAAATTAAAATATAATTCCACTTACATTCTAAACTCCGGAGGTTTTCGCAGAATCACAACGAGAGAGAGAGAGAGAGAGACAACAACAACAACAACAACAACAACAACAACAATGCGTTCGGAAGTAATGGAACTACTTGCCTCGATTGGACTTCGACCGGAAAATGCTACGAATGTGGAAGACATATTTAAAAAGAACAAAGAAAGTCTGGAGATGAAATCTGAAATTTCTAATGGTAGCGGTTTAGTCTATACAACTTCTTCTGGTCTGTCAGCTGTTGTGCCTCACTCACCATCGATAACCGCTCAAAACACTTTCGAGAGTCCTGTCTCAGAGATCAGGAAAGGCATGAACAATTTAACACCTGACGTACAATTGTTCTTTCAACGATTTGGTTTGCAAACATCCAATCTAGTAACAACCACAATGTCCACGCTAAAGTCAACTATTAATACAAATTCTTATACCAATTTCAAGCCTTTACCAACATCTAAGATAAAAAACGAGGATATGAAAGAATTTTTAGCAAAATTCGGGCTTGGAGTCAGCGATAGCAGACAGAAAAAAGCCATGTCGGCATCAACGGAACGGCCATCGTTGATCGAAGCCGTTCCAGATAACATGAGGCAGATCCTGGAGAACATAGGCCTCATATCCCGCAAGACATCGAGAACGACACCAAAGATGGAGGATATAGAACCAACAAAGTCGACCAAGATTCACATATTCAAGCCTCACGAGGTCTATGTCAAGGACGAAGGGCAAAGAATGAAAATCAATCAACTTTTAGACAAAATCAGATTGGTCCAGGAAGGAAAAGCAAACGCAAAGGACGTGCGAAAAATAGCCGATGATCTGCTTACTACCACAAAAACTCTAAAGGATGGACCGGATCCGTTGAGTCTAGAAGAGATAATTAGAATTTACAACGAAGAGAGAGATGTAAAAAATGAAGTAAAAAGACAACAAAATCCGGAAGAAATTGTTGAAATCACCACCAATGGCGATCGAGCTCTCGCGAATGCCACGACGACGACGAAGACGGCGACGACAACGCCAAGCGGTATAAAAAAAATTATGATATCCATTTTGGGCACTTCGGAATTCTGGGTTGAACGCATTATTCGGGGTCTAGCGAGGATTAGACATGTTAACCAATATGGGAGAAAAGATTATGCAACCTCTCGATTAAATTGATTTATTTTAAAAGACGTCATTACTAAATACACTTTTATATTGTTGTACATTCACTCGGCATAATTTTCTCTGGCTATATTTTCTTTCGCTTCTACTATACCTACTTCTCGCTTTGTATTCCGTAACTGTCTGCGAATCCAAATCTAGATTACAAGGATAAGCGTAAAAGAAATCAATAAGTATTAAAATGGCATATATTAATTAACTAATTATTTAGTATAATAATATATTATTGTTTTATGAATTAATCATAGGAACACCGCGCCGTAGAAAATATAAGGTGAATTAGCAATTTTTGCAATTAAATTAATAATAAACCACATGCAATAGATAATCATGCAGGTTATATCATTGTTCGTATTCTAAATTAAACAAAGAATTGTGCATTAACAGCGAATCTGGAATAACTTGAATACTTTTGCAATTTCAATTACGCAATATTTAATTAATACATGTTGATAATTAAGTATATATTAATAAGATTTGAAGATGTATAATAAATTACACAAAAGAAGATTTTAAATCAATTATTACGGGTTCATTCGCGTTGAATAATATAATGGTAAATATTATTTACATAATCCGAACAAAATAAAATTGCGAAATCTCAGCTTTTACATCTAAATAAAACTGCAGACTAACACAACATGATAAATTTTGATATGTTTTGGCATGCAGTTTATCTAAACAATATTTCTCAAAAAGGATTTTTGCACGCAGACTTTTCCTTACGCGCATACGTTACTGTCAACTAGATATACAACTTTCATCCTGCGTGCTTGTCTCCGAAACAGTGCGCGTTGCATGTGATGTTGCATGTGAATGCTGGGTGCATGTGCTCGCACGCGAACCGGTTCGTAGCTCGATGTCATCATCATTCCTACCAATCACGCGATGGATAAGCGAATGAAATGTATAATCTACTTTACTCTTCTTCTGAATGGTAAAGATGGAATTCAAAGATGATTTCGTCTTCTACGAATATATGGATACACTACACGGAAAGAAAATGAAGTTGCTTCAATTAAACGTCAACGTCACGGGCTGCCACAAGCATTAAATAGTTTATTCAATTGGATATTATTTACATATTGGACCAAATATTTAAATTATTAAAACAATTATCTGACATTTCTTGTTCATTGTGTGTGTGTGT